AGTGGTCCGGCAGTTTCCGAGGCTTCAGGTACGTCTTCTTCTGCTGCGTCAGCTTCGGCGGCACGGTCGGCGAAGGACCGATGGCCCGCGAAGCCGTCGGTGGGGTCATCTGTGTTGGCGACGTTGTCCAGGTAATGTTGCAGCGTCAGTCGCTCGTAGAAGATCACATCACGTGATGCCACTGTATTTTTGCCTTGTAGGTCGAGGAGTTTCCATGCTTGGAAATGTTTTGCGATGCCGAGGTGTAGTCCCCACCGTGCTCGTTGAGTGAAGCGTCCTGCTCGAGCTGTGTGGGGTCTGTACTATACCATGCAGCCGAAAACTCGAAGTAATTTTGTGCTGCCCCTTTTTCGTGTCCACAGCAGGTGCGGTGATGCGTTGTTGGGAAGTGATGACGAGGACAGCAAATTGTGCAGGTGGACTGCATGCGTCATTGCGTCTGGCCACAGTGTGTTGGGCAGTCTCATCCCCAGGACCAGCTTTCGCATCATCGTCTGCAAGGTCCGGTTCATCCTCTCTGCGACCCCCTGCTGTTGGTGAGCGTAGGGCAGGGACACCAAGCGTCTGATGCCTCTTTCTCCCAAGTAGTTCCTGAATCGTTGTGACTGGTATTCAGTGCCCCGTCTGACTGGAAGCTCTTGAGTTTCAAGCCCGATTCTCGTTCAGCGATGGGCAGCCATGCGGTGAAGGCTTCGAAAGCTTGATCGCGTGTCTTGAGGTTGTAGTGCCAGACGTATTGTGTTGCTGCGTCGATGAACGTTATAACGTAGTTGTATTCTGCTTCACTGTCATCTCGAGGCATATTTAAGATGTCGCTGTAGACCTTTTCCATCGGTTCGTATGCAAGTGCACTGGGATTGTGGTGTGATGTAAAAGGTTGGTGGGGAAGATCAGCTTCGGGGCACGTGAAGCATCGTGCGCGTGGTCGTCGAAGTTCTTGGCCGCTCGTTGTAAGAAGAGCGTTTCTTTCTAACACTTCGGCTTGGATGGTTTGTAATACTGTGCTGTTTGCAGGATGCCCGAGGCGTTGATGCCAGATGTCGTCGGGAGCGCGATGGCTGGGCGAGCGTTGGTACATGTCGGTGTTGGAGAAGAGCGCGACGACCGTGGCGGGACTTCGGCAGACTTCTCGTGTGATGGGCATAAGTTGATGTGCTTCAGTTGGCGGTCCTTGGATTGCTGGTGATGGAACACGGCTGGGTCCTGCTACTGCTACTGCAGGTGATGTCGGTGAAGGGACGCTTGCTGGTACTTGTCTTTCTTGTCGAATGACTGCTAACGCTCGTGTTCTTTCTGCTGCAGGTATGGTGTTGGAGTACCAGAATCCATCTGGGGTGAAGTCGGGGTCAAGATCCGGTGGGTGCGTCCATGCGGCGAACGACACGATGCCATCGCTGTCGGCAGTACCGCGATCGAGGACGAAATCCAACACGAAGACACCTGACTTCAGGAGAGCGCAACCAATGAAGAGGCCTCCCTTCCCGTGGTAAAGACGAAATTCGTTGGCGTCGGAGTCGCATTCCAGGTGAATCCCTTTTTCCATTAGTTGGCTGACGCTTAGCAGATTGTATCCCAAGTTGTCGACGATTAGAACCTTGTTGAGTTGCAGGATGGCGTTTGTCTCCATGGCCTGCAACTGAACCATTCCTTGTCTATTTGTTTTCAGGTTTTCGTTGTTGGCGACGGTGATGATGACATCGCAGTTGAGTCTTCCCTCTCGTTGCACGAAGCGTCCGTAAGAACACATGTGTTGGCCGCAACAGCTGTCCAAGAACCAGGTGTTTCGCCCGGTGGGTTCGGCGTTGGCGACTGCAGCGTACGTCGGGTTGACCTGAAGGCCTTGTGAGCGCGGCGGCGGCAAATCTTCTTCGTCTGGAGCGTAAGTGGGTGGTGATCCGGGTGCGCAGTTGTCGATGTGTACCATACAATTGATGATATTCGTTGTGCCTTGTGCAGATGTGGAGGAACGCCTTGGCGGACTTTCTTGAGTGGAAGCGATTCGTGGGTCTACTGGACGATAAACTCGGGGGCGTGTGCAGTTAACCTTGGAGTGTCCGGATGTCTGAAACGTGGTGAGTCCTTGGGTATCGTGTCGATTCTGCCAATCACGTCGATTGTGGTTGTCGTTTCTTCGTTGAGCATAGAAGACTAACGGTTGCTGCCTGTTTCTTGGTTGTCTTTCTTCAAACAGGTCCATCTCCTGTTGTTCAGCATGAAGCTCGGCGCAGAGGTGCATCTCCGAAATTCGTCCGTGGGCGCGAAAGAGCGAGCGGGTGGTTCTCCATTCTGGCCCGAGCTCGGCGAGGACAAGTGTCACGAAGCTTTCTTTAGTAATTTTACCTCCGCACCGAAGTAGGCGGTCGCGGAGTGTTTGGCAGCGACTCATATACTGCATCGCCTTTTCCCCGGTTTTCATTTGTATTGTTGTCAACTGCTGCATGAGTCTGCTTTATGTCACGCTGTCATTTGCTTGGTAGAGACACTTGAGGTGATGCCATGCGAGCTCTGCGGAGTTTCCGTATCTCCGATACGCTCTGATGCTTTGTTGTTCTTGTGGTGACAGGTTTCGCAGGAGAACTGTGTACGCCAGCAGCGACTGATAAGTGAAGATTTCCTGCTCCTTTGCAGTGCCATTGCTTGGAAATGGCAGGGACCTGTTGAAGTATCCCAAGAGTTGCGCGGCCTCCATCAGCAGCTCGAACTCGAAGCTCCAGGTAAAAAAGTCGTGTCCGTTGAACGGTAAGGATGTCTGCAGTTTGATCACGTGTGAAAACTGCGCCCGGAGACTCAATATCTCAACTGCGCCCGAAGACTCAATATCTCGTTTGGTGTCTGTTGTGATGCAGCTGCTATTGGTTGGGCACGGGGCGGCATGAACTCGAACATCCCCGGTGAAGAGTGATAAGGTGCAAAGGTAGGCGCTTGATTGTGTCGCCCGAACGATGAGTTGTCGAGGCTCATTGGCGCTAATCCCATGTTTCCTCTGTTGCTCTGTATTGAATGTGCAGGTGTTCTTGTCTGCTGCTGCTGGTCGAAGTGCGACATGAAGCTGAAGAACCTTTCCATAAGGTTCGGGTCCACGCTTGAGGAGGGTGATGGGGTCACTATTCTGGTGCACTTCCTGTTGTTTCTTGAGCAGCGCCGGTCTCGGTTTGAAGTCCTGAAGTGTGAAGTCCAGAGTTGCTAGGTTGAGTGTCGTGGGCGCTGGGTGAGCCCGTAGAGATCTTCTTGCCCTTGCTGTCCATGACTTATAATCGATGAAGCTTGTTGAAGTGTTGACTGTAGATAAAGCGTTGTTGCTGGGAGTTTGGTCTCTGACCAGCTCTCATACCATGTTGGGCTGAGAAAAAGCTCTTAGGATCTTTCAGAGACTAAGTCCCAGTTGTACAAGGATGCTTGAGTAGTGCAGCGGAAGTTCAGTAGTTGAACCCTTGCACTAGTATGTGAGAGCAAGTGATTGGCGAAACAAGCATACATCAATATATATAAAATAGGAAAGTAAAGCAGTTGTAGAATACAGTTGAAGGAACGGTTATCGAGTCGCACAGCGACTCGATGGTCGATTCGGTTACCACCCTTGCAGTTGTAACGGTCAGTCGCAACCTCTGGTTGCGACCCTTCGAGTCTTTCGTCATTTCGTGTTCTTTCGTCCAACCTCCTCGTGTAACCTCCGTTCACTCGCATACTCGATACGGCTTCACTCGAGTGTGGTGTTACACTTCAGAAACGCTTAAGTCCTTGAGGTATTTCCAACAGATGTATTGTTTCCTCGTTACTTAATCCTTCGACACACGCTCTTTGCGCTTCATTACAGGGGGTCAGAATAAATGACTCGTTGTGGAAAACTACCCACTAAAAGAAGTGGAAAGAAGTGTGTTGTGAGAATTTGGAACGCAGGGAGTGGTCCACGAGACACCTTGCGAGGACACGAGTTTGGCAGAACTCCGTGCAAAGAGTGGCACGATTTGAGTCCTATCAAGTACCTCATTTCTTACGTGATGTCATCCATCTACACGAACACTTGTTAAGGAGGATACGCTTCGGTCCCTGACACATCTTTGTTCTGCTGAGATCCAGCCAACCACAGGAAAGGCTGCCCCAATCACGCTCTGTTCTGGTCGCGCGCAGCCGCTGGTTTGACAGAAGGATCTTTCGCAAAGATGGGATTCTGTAACGTGATTCGTCGAACTGTAGGTTTCGCAAGACTGCGCGTTTTATTGCTGATTGTCGCGACACATGTCTTTCGCAGGCTGCGTTCTGCAGGCAAAAAAGGAAAGTGCAGATTACATCAGAGCACCTTCCGAAAGAGATATTTTTTGCTTCGGATAGAGGTTCAGCCCGCAAATTTTTGCCCAGACCTGGCACAACGTACCCGAACCTAGTACGTCGACATGCCTACAGATTTGGTCCATCTACGGATGACATCTACGTCAGGGAAACACCTCCGTCGCTTCCCTCCCTGGCAAATTTGACGCAAACTTGACGCAATGCTGACGTTAGCTTTATTGAGATTTCACCTTGCGTGTGGCGACACATCAACCGCAAGGGTGTACTAGGCCTCCACACCCCAAAAATACAACCGCCACCACTTTACCCCCCTCGCGAGCTTGGGCCTGCCCTTAAAAAAAAACAGCAACTGAACAAACCCATCAGCAACGAGTCATATCTCAGCTGAACCTTTTTTCGTCATTTTGCTCCGATAATTTCTCTCCTGCCCAAGGGCAGCACTTTTTTTTTCGCGCAATTTCGAAATCATATCCTCTCACCTTTCGCTTGCGCTTTCCACAATTTGGTCGCGTGGCTTCCAAGCGAGGTTGGGAAAGTGCACCTGGTTTGGTTGGTAACCAGCGCTCTTGAAGTCGCTTGAGGAGCTTCCTCAATGTCGACGTCGACGTCAACGTCAAATGCCTGTAGAACACAGCCGTTGTTGTCAGGTGTCAGCGAGCAGGTTGGTGTGCGGGTGGATGGGGAAAGAGGAGGGAAACGGCAAGAGAGGAGCATTTAGTTGAGAGAAATTCGGGCGTTTTTCCGCGTTGATCGACGGCTGTGCAGCTCGGGTGGATTGTGACAATATCGGTTTCCTGATGGCGGAGAGCGATAGGATGCGACGTGAGTCATTTCGAGGAACGATGAGGCGACATTAGCACGTGCGATATAGCTTTTTATTGCATTCGCTTGTCGTGGCACTGGCAGCATCATTGCTTCGTTCGCCGCTGGATGTGTCAGGCATTGCTGGACTGCTATCGTCGTGTCGTGGCCATGGTCGCGTCGGCGTTCATCTCCAACCGACGGCGAGTTTCCCAACCCACCGTAGCTGCCTTCGTCGTGCACCTTCCGCAGTTTGTCTCGTACGCGTTACAAGGCAGCCTTCTGGCTGTTTTCTTCGTTATAGGCAGCGTGTTGTCGTGGAATCAATTAGTCCCGCAAAGCTACGTGAAGCCGTTCGCGGTGTGGGGCGACGTGTCGGAGGGGACTCGGCTCGCTGTGCCGGTGCTGGAGGACCTAGGAGTCGACGCACGTGGCGTGAACCGATGCGTCGTTGACCTTCCGGAATTCACGCGGGTAGCCGAGGTGGCTGGAAATGCGACCCAATGGCCTTCCCTAGCGGTCGGTGAGGCGCTGGGGGGGAGGACTGAGCACGCGGGGAGGCTGGAGCCGGGGGGGAGGACGGCAGAGGAAAGGGTAGTGGAAAGCGAGGGGGAAACGATGCGCGAAAGAGAAAGAGGTTTGGCGCGGGAGACCCCGCGTGAGAGGGAACTAGCGCGCGAGGGGGATGCGGCGGAGTCACTCGCGGGAGGCGCGGAACGGATCGCAACGAATGGGAGCGGAGGCGAGGGGCAGATAGGGCGGGGAAGCGAGGGCAAGGAGGAGTCGCAGGGAGGGGGAGCGCTGTCTACAAGCAGTGGGGGGGAAGCGCTGTCTACAAGCAGTGGGGGGGAAGCGCTGTCTACACGCAGTGGGGGGGAAGCGCTGTCTACAAGCAGTGGGGGGGAAGCGCTGTCTACACGCAGTGGGGGGGAAGCGCTGTCTACAAGCAGTGGGGGGGAAGCGCTGTCTACAAGCAGTGGGGGGCAAGCGCTGTCTACAAGCAGTGGGGGGGAAGCGCTGTCTACAAGCAGTGGGGGGGAAGCGCTGTCTACAAGCAGTGGGGGGGAAGCGCTGTCTACAAGCAGCCGCAGCAGCGACCGCACGCTTGGCATATATGAGGTGGGCGCGGTCGGCATGTATGAGGTGGGCGGTGGTGGGAAGAGAGGGGAGGGAAACGAGGAGAGTCATTGGCCAGCTATGAGAACACGGGATAGTGGCTGCCGTGCATGCCGTCATGGGTGCATGCCGTCATGGGTGCATGCCGTCATGGGTGCATGCCGTCATGGGTGCATGCCATCATGGGTGCATGCCATCATGGGCGCATGCCATCATGGGTGCATGCCATCATGGGTGTATGCCATCATGGGCGCATGCCATCATGGGCGCATGCCATCATGGGTGCATGCCATCATGGGTGCATGCCATCATGGGTGCATGCCGTCATGGGTGCATGCCGTCATGGGTGCATGCCGTCATGGGTGCATGCCATCATGGGTGCATGCCATCATGGGCGCATGCCATCATGGGTGCATGCCATCATGGGTGCATGCCATCATGGGCGCATGCCATCATGGGCGCATGCCATCATGGGCGCATGCCATCATGGGTGCATGCCATCATGGGTGCATGCCGTCATGGGTGCATGCCGTCATGGGTGCATGCCGTCATGGGTGCATGCCGTCATGGGTGCATGCCATCATGGGTGCATGCCATCATGGGCGCATGCCATCATGGGCGCATGCCATCATGGGTGCATGCCATCATGGGTGCATGCCATCATGGGTGCATGCCGTCATGTGTGCATGCCGTCATTGGTGCATGCCGTCATGGGTGCATGCCATCATGGGTGCATGCCATCATGGGCGCATGCCATCATGGGTGCATGTCATCATGGGTGCATGCCATCATGGGCGCATGCCATCATGGGCGCATGCCATCATGGGTGCATGCCATCATGGGTGCATGCCATCATGGGTGCATGCCGTCATGGGTGCATGCCGTCATGGGTGCATGCCGTCATGGGTGCATGCCGTCATGGGTGCATGCCATCATGGGTGCATGCCATCATGGGCGCATGCCATCATGGGCGCATGCCATCATGGGTGCATGCCATCATGGGTGCATGCCATCATGGGTGCATGCCGTCATGGGTGCATGCCGTCATGGGTGCATGCCGTCATGGGTGCATGCCGTCATGGGTGCATGCCATCATGGGTGCATGCCATCATGGGCGCATGCCATCATGGGCGCATGCCATCATGGGTGCATGCCATCATGGGTGCATGCCATCATGGGCGCATGCCATCATGGGCGCATGCCATCATGGGTGCATGCCGTCATGGGTGCATGCCGTCATGGGTGCATGCCGTCATGGGTGCATGCCATCATGGGTGCATGCCATCATGGGTGCATGCCATCATGGGTGCATGCCCTCATGGGTGCATGCCATCATGGGCGCATGCCATCATGGGCGCATGCCATCATGGGTGCATGCCATCATGGGTGCATGCCATCATGGGTGCATGCCGTCATGGGTGCATGCCGTCATGGGTGCATGCCGTCATGGGTGCATGCCGTCATGGGTGCATGCCGTCATGGGCGCATGCCATCATGGGCGCATGCCATCATGGGCGCATGCCATCATGGGCGCATGCCATCATGGGCGCATGCCATCATGGGTGCATGCCATCATGGGTGCATGCCATCATGGGTGCATGCCATCATGGGCGCATGCCATCATGGGCGCATGCCATCATGGGCGCATGCCATCAGGGGTGCATGCCATCATGGGTGCATGCCATCATGGGTGCATGCCATCATGGGTGCATGCCATCATGGGTGCATGCCATCATGGGCGCATGCCATCATGGGTGCATGCCATCATGGGTGCATGCCATCATGGGCGCATGCCATCATGGGCGCATGCCATCATGGGTGCATGCCATCATGGGTGCATGCCGTCATGGGTGCATGCCGTCATGGGTGCATGCCGTCATGGGTGCATGCCATCATGGGTGCATGCCATCATGGGTGCATGCCATCATGGGTGCATGCCATCATGGGTGCATGCCATCATGGGTGCATGCCATCATGGGTGCATGCCATCATGGGCGCATGCCATCATGGGCGCATGCCATCATGGGCGCATGCCATCATGGGCGCATGCCATCATGGGCGCATGCCATCATGGGCGCATGCCATCATGGGTGCTCGCATGCACCAATGCCTCTCCTCAACTGAATTTCCCCCAACCGTCTCTCCTCACCCCTTCCCCCACACCTTCCTTCCTCTCCCCCCTCCCCCTGCGCCACCAGGCGTGGGCGTCCGCTTATGGGCTGGCCACGGACTCCCCCTACCCGCCCTCCGCCTCGCCTCTATCGGCGGGACTGCCCCCCGCTCCCCACCTGGACGACTGCAGGGCGCGCTCTGCCTTCCGCCAGGCCATGGAGATGCGGGGGAGGATGGGGGAGGCGCCGCGGTGGGCGGAGAAGGCAGCAGAGGAGTGTGAGGGGGTTCCACAGCCTCCCTGGGTGAGCCACGTGCGCCGCACCACCATTCCCTGCCGCGCTCCCGCGGTCCTTCTCCCTGCGTCATCCCCTGCACTCGCATCTTGCCATGTACCCTGCACTCGCATCTTGCCATGTACCCTGCACTCGCATCTTGCCATGTACCCTGCACTCGCATCTTGCCATGTCCCCTGCACTCGCATCTTGCCATGTCCCCTGCACTCGCATCTTGCCATGTCCCCTGCACTCGCATCTTGCCATGTCCCCTGCACTCGCATCTTGCCATGTCCCCTGCACTCGCATCTTGCCATGTCCCCTGCACTCGCATCTTGCCATGTCCCCTGCACTCGCATCTTGCCATGTCCCCTGCACTCGCATCTTGCCATGTCCCCTGCACTCGCATCTTGCCATGTCCCCTGCACTCGCATCTTGCCATGTCTTCCCGCACCCTTTGCCCCGAGCCCTACGGCTGCCCTCCTCCGGGACTGTAAGACTTCCACGCAAGCACCCTCTCACCCCTCTGCTCACGTCACCTCCTTCCTTCTCCTCCCCACACGCCCTTCTCTTTCTCTAGTCTGATCTGCGAGTACGAGCAGCGCGACGTGGAGGCTTTCTCTAATTCTCTACACCCCCCTCCTCCCCTCTCGGTTTCCAGGTGCGCGGGTCGGAGGCGGGCAGTCTGGGCGGCACGCGGGCGGCACAGAGGGACCTGTGGGAGCACCAGTTCCCGCCGCACCACTGCCGGGGGCGCCGCCTGCTGCTCGTGCAGTGGCCAGCACTTCCCCCCACGTTGAACCGCAGCCGGGGGGCGCAACGAGAGGAAGGGAAAGGGGTGGGGCAGGGGGTGGGGGAGTGGTTGGCGCAGGCGGTGGAGGCGATGGGGGCGGCGCTGGCAGTGGCGGTGAGCAGCGGGCGCGTGCTGGTGCCCCTGGGGGGGTCGTTTGGACCCGCCAGGCACGAGGCCTGCCGAGGTGAGAGGCGCTCAGGTGTGGGGTGCTCCATGCTGGGCTGCTGCACTGTGTGTGGCTGCATGGAGTGTGGCTGCAGGTGCACGCCAGGCGCCTGCAGGTGGCTCATGCATGTGAGACAGTATCAAGGCACATGCAGGGGGTAGGCAGGGCACATGCAAGGGGTAGGCAGGGCGCATGCGGGGGGTAGGCAGGGCACTTGCAGGGGGTAGGCAGGGCACATGCAGGGGGTAGGCAGCAGGGCACATGCAGGGGGTAGGCAGGGCACATGCAGGGGGTAAACAGGGCACATGCAGGGGGTAGGCGGCAGGGCACATGCAGGGGGTAGGTAGGGCACATGCAGGGGGTAGGCAGCAGGGCACATGCAGGGGGTAGGCAGGGCACATGCAGGGGGTAGGCAGGGCACATGTAGGGGGTAGGCAGGGTAAATGCAGGGGGTAGGCAGCAGGGCACGTGCAGGGGGTAGGCAGGGCACATGCAGGGGGTAGGCAGCAGGGCACATGCAGGGGGTAGGCAGCAGGGCACATGGAGGGGGTAGGCAGCAGGGCATATGCAGGGTGTAGGCAGCAGTGCACATGCAGGGTGTAGGCAGCAGGGCACATGCAGGGTGTAGGCAGCAGGGCACATGCAGGGTGTAGGCAGCAGGGCACATGCAGGGTGTAGGCAGCAGGGCACATGCAGGGGGTGGGCATCAGGGCACGTGCAGGGGGTAGGCAGCAGTCAAGCCACCACGCGCCTCTCATCCTCCTCCTCGACATGCCACCTCGCCTGCGCACCCTCCAGCAGTGTGTGCCTCTCAGCACTCTGCAGCAGTCTGTGTGTGCCACATTCGCCCTTCGTTCCCCTGCTATGCCGTCTTCTCCCCTCTCACCTGCCTCCCTGCCTCCCTGCCTCCCTGCCTCCCTGCCTCCCTGCCTCCCTGCCTCCCTGCCTCCCTGCCTCCCTGCCTCCCTGCCTCCCTGCCTCCCGGCTTCCCCGCGTCCTGCTCACCACCCCACCCACTTGTGGGCAGTGCATGGCGCGTGGGGCGAGTGGCACTGCTACTTCCACCGCCTCGCATCACCGCACTGCGATGTCGCCGTGCACTCCGCCCTCAGACACACGCAGGGGGGAGAGGGGGCTCAAGGGGGGGAGGAAGCAGCGCGGCTGTGGCGGCCGTTGGCGGAGATGCAGGGGGAGATAGCGTCTGAGGCGCGGGTGGTGCGCGTCGTGGCTGAGGTGGTGGGTGGGCCGGGGGAAATGGGTGAGGATGGAGAGGGCGGTTGCGATGGCAGCAGTGGCGGGGCAGTGGGGCGCGGGGGCAGGCATCCCGCTGAAGAGGCTGCTGCGTGCGTGCACTCCGCTCCATGTGCTTCTCTCCCCCATATGCACCGCATGCCTCCACCCACGTGCTTTTGCTCGAATAGCATCGTTCATCCCTTGGCATGTGCATGTGCGTGTGCATGTGCATGTGCGTGTGCATGTGCATGTGCATGTGCATGTGCATGTGCATGTGCATGTGCGTGTGCATGTGCATGCGCATGTGCGTGTCCATGTGCGTGTGCATGTGGATGTGCATGTGCATGTGCATGTGCATGTGCGTGTGCATGTGCGTGTGCATTTGCATGTGCATGTGCGTGTCGACGTGCGTGTGCATGTGCATGTGCATGTGCATGTGCGTGTGCATGTGCATGTGCATGTGCATGTGCATGTGCGTGTGCATGTGCATATGCGTGTCCATGTGCGTGTGCGTGTGGATGTGCATGTGCGTGTGAATGTGCATGTGCATGTGCATGTGCGTGTCCATGTGCGTGTGCATGTGCGTGTGCATGTGCATGTGCGTGTCCATGTGCGTGTGCATGTGCATGTGCGTGTGAATGTGCCTGTGCGTGTGCATGTGCATGTGCGTGTGCATGTGCATGTGCATGTGCGTGTGCATGTGCATGTGCATGTGCATGTGCGTGTGCATGTGCATGTGCATGTGCATGTGCGTGTCCATGTGCGTGTGCATGTGCGTGTGCATGTGCATGTGCGTGTCCATGTGCGTGTGCATGTGCATGTGCATGTGAATGTGCATGTGCATGTGCATGTGCGTGTGCATGTGCCTGTGCGTGTGCATGTGCACGTGCGTGTGCATGTGCGTGTGAATGTGCGTGTGCATGTGCATGTGCGTGTGCATGTGCGTGTGCGTGTGCATGTGCATGTGCATGTGCGTGTGAATGTGCCTGTGCGTGTGCATGTGCATGTGCGTGTGCATGTGCATGTGCATGTGCGTGTGCATGTGCATGTGCATGTGCATGTGCGTGTGCATGTGCATGTGCATGTGCATGTGCGTGTCCATGTGCGTGTGCATGTGCGTGTGCATGTGCATGTGCGTGTCCATGTGCGTGTGCATGTGCATGTGCGTGTGAATGTGCATGTGCATGTGCATGTGCGTGTGCATGTGCCTGTGCGTGTGCATGTGCACGTGCGTGTGCATGTGCGTGTGAATGTGCGTGTGCATGTGCATGTGCGTGTGCATGTGCGTGTGCGTGTGCATGTGCATGTGCATGTGCGTGTGTAGTGAGCAACCCATGCATCCATCTGAGTCATCACCCAGCGCGCTGCCTTCCTTGTTGCGATTCCTTGTTCCTGTGGTTCGAACCCCTCCCTCCCTCGGTGTCTTCCTCCCTCCTTCCGTCTTACCCCTCTTCCCCCCTGTCCCACCCCCGCCCTTGCCCCGCCCCTCGTGTTTGCAGCACTCCGTGGCTGCGCCTGCGTGCAGGCTGAAGGGTGCTAGTGATCGCAACGGGGATCCATGTTGAGCAGCGGACCTGATGGCGAGCACGCTGGTCGAGAAACGTGGTATGAACCGACTGCACATCAGAGGTTTCCGCTCCTCTCTTGCCCCCCTCTTGCATCTGTGTTTGCCTACCCCCTCCGTGCAGGCTGATGGGTCACGCATGGCAGCACGTGGCAGTGGGGGAAGGGGCGGAGGGCAGCGCGTGCAGTGACCGGCGGAAGAAGGTGGGCGGATGGTGGTGCATGGGTGGGCGGGGACAAGGGGGATGGGTGGGTGGCATGCGGGGCGCATGGTGGGTGCGAGGGACATCAGCTGTAGCTGCACAGCCAAGGAATCCGCGGGCCACTGCCACAACAAGAGAGCACTCTTTCCCTGAATCCGCCCAACCCCCTCCCATACGCCATCCCTCTTTCTCTCTTATGCATGCACACTACCTCTCCCTATTCTCCCTCTCCCCCTCTCCCCCCCCCAGGTGCAGTGGTGGCGGGCCCAATCCGCGCGCTTCATGCTGCGCTGGCCCTCGCTCTACCTCTGCCACGTCATCAACCGCCAGCGCCACAGCGCCTATGGCAGGCAGGTGGCGCGCAGCGGCGCCACGCGCGAGGCGGAGGCGGACGCTATCCTCTCGTCGCTCCTCCTCCCCCTGCCGCGCGCGCGCGATGCCTCGGCGGACGTCAACGAGCGCGAGGAGGGGCGCGAGCTGGCGGGCTTTAACTTCTCCGCGCCCAACACGGCGGAGACGGGCGTGTGGCCGTTCAGGGGGTTCCAGGGGTGCGTGGCGCGCGGGCGGGGCAACGTGATGACGGCGCAGCGCAGCGCCATGGGGGACTACCGCGGGGTGGGCGGCGAGGTGTACGTGTTCCGTCCCATTGTCAGCATGCACGTGGGGCGCGGGGGAGGTGGAGGAGGGATGGCTGAGGGGCGGCAGGTGGAGCAGGGGAGTGCGGATGAAGAGAGGGCGGAGGAAGAGACGAGGGGGGATGAGCAAGAGAAGAGGGCGGAGTTGGCGGTGCTGGGCGCTGTGCTCCACGCGTATGGGTTCCGGCAGCAGCAGCCAGACCTCAAGCACGTGTGGCTCACTGCTCACTCCAAGGTGAGACGGTGGGATGAGAGGGGGGTGAGCTGAGATGGGATGAATGATTCATGCAATCAAGTCAAGGGTGTCGAGCCACAGGTAGCGAGGCACTACCTTGCACCAGTTGACTCCTAAGAGGATCTCCTACCTTTAAGCCGTCGCACTCGCGTGTCCACCACACGCTCCCACATCCCCATCACCGCTTTTTGCTGCTCCCCACCGGCTGCTCTTCCCCATCCTCGCCCCCTGCCAGCATGCCCACGCCCAATGCCATCCCACGTCCACTCACACCCACCCGTCTTCCCCCTCTCACCTGTGGTGCCGCGCCCACCACACCACAGGCCATCATGCGGCACGTGGCGGGCTTTCACGACTGGAAGTTCCTCTACTCGCGGCACCTGCTGGGAAACCACACACGGGAAGGCAGCAGCCAATCAGCATCTGCCTGCATGGCGGGGGTGGTGGGCGCGCAGCTGGCGAGCGTGCTGATCGCCGCGGAGTCGGACTATTTCGTGGGGTCACTGGCCTCGCAGTGCAGCCGCCTCATCCTCACCCTCAAGACCACCAATGGCCGCCTCGCCGCACCGGCTGTGCTGCTGAAATAGTGTTGCCATGCCATGTACAGGTCTCCAGCATTTGATTCGATCCCCTTCAGCTTCATTCTTTCTGAAGCTGTTTCCTAGACTGGTTCATTTTTCTGTATGCAAGCAGTCCATTCCATGCTTAGTTGGCACCATGATAGCTTGTAGAGCCCAATACCACCTCTGTTCAGCGATCCATGTTCAAATCACTGCAGTAGTGCACATACTTGCATGTACCGCACAACCAACACCGGGGAAAAAGAGCTTCCAGAGGGCCTTGTGGAACGATGCGGTCGCACACCCCTGCATCTATATGCACCTCACTGCAGTGACTGCACTGCACTGTCACGCACCAGACCATACTGTACCGTACTATACTGAACTGCACTGCACTGTGCAGTACCGTTTTGCGCTGTGCTGTACTGTGCGGGTCATGCTTGAGACTGACTTCATGCCAATCTGTAGAATGGTGAAGCAGATGGGACGAACCCGGGATGTCAAGTGCAGGGAGGGCGACGAGGCGGTGCGAGGGTGGGAGGCAAAAGCCCTTTAGTCAAACGGAGGGCGGGTGGGAGGCGCGGCGGGCAACGGCCCACTGCGAGGTGATGAAGGTGTGCGCATGGCGGGCCAGATGGTCTGAGTCGTCCCACCTGGGGGAGAGGGGGGGCGAGCAGGGGGAGAGCAGGGGGAGAGCAGGGGGAGGCGGGGGTGGGGGAGCGGAGAGTGGGAGAAGGCAAACGAAGGGAAAAGGAGGAGAGAAAAAAGGGAGGTGGGGGCGGGTTGGTCGGTGAGAAGACACGCGACCAAGAGTTGAGCAGAATGGGAATTGGGGGGGGGAGCGGGAAGGGAAGAGATGGAAAGACGAGGGATGGGCAGACAAGGGAGCACGGGAGAGGATGCATGCAGGGCGGTGTGGGACGCATGGAGCCCGGTCCCCTGAGAGGCACTGCCGCACATGCACACTCACGCACACCCACACACAGCGCGCCTCACACGCACAGAGGGTGGGAGTGCTCACAGGCACGGTGGGTGGGAGTGCTCATAGGCACGGTGGTGGGTGGGAGTGCTCACAGATTGCGCCACACGGCACATGGGTGTTGAGGCTCACAGGTTGCGCCACACGGCACATGGGTGTTGAGGCTCACAGGTTGCGCCACACGGCACATGGGTGTTGAGGCTCACAGGTTGCGCCACACGGCACATGGGTGGAGAGGCTCACAGGTTGCGCCACACGGCGAGGGTGTTGGAGAGGGTGGGACTGACGACCTCGGAGGAAAACGACTCAAACGTGATGGGCCCGCTGTACTGTGCGCGCGCCAAGGCCCGGAACAGCTGCGGGAAGTCCACCGTGCCTGGGAGGGAGGTACGGCAGGTGATGGACGAGAGGCTTGTAGGCAGGGTTGCATGTAGAGACCGAGTGGGTGGGTGTAGAGAAGATTGGATTAGGCAAGATGGAGTGGTGATAATGGGGGAAGAGGGAAGGAGAGGTCGAGGTACTCGGGCAGATGCAGAGCCATGCTTACAAGCAGTGCACTCACTGTCGCTCCACAACATTACACTCACTGCAGCCTGCCTCAGTGCAGCCTGCCCTCAGTGCAGCCTGCCCTCAGTGCAGCCTGCCCTCAGTGCAGCCTGCCCTCCGTGCAGCGTGCCGTGAGTGGGACCTGAGCCCAGGTAGCCGCGGTGCGACTCTCCAATGTGCACGTAGCCCAGGCGCGTGCCGCACGTGGCGACAGCATCTGCCAGGCTGCCCTCTTCGATGTTCATGTGGTACGAGTCCAGGTGGATCACCACGTTGCCGTGCCCGATCTCATCCACCAGCCGCACCGCCTGCACACGGACACAGGGGTCAGCGGGGCGTAGAAAGGGGACGCAACAGCCTCACGCAAACACGGTCAGTTAGAGCAGGCATGTTTGAGAGAAATGCGGGGGAGATTGAGATGAGGGTAAATCGTCACCGCTCCCCTCACCTGCTTGGCCGTGTTGAGCACGTTGCTCTCACCTGCTCCGCCGTGTTGAGCACGTTGCTCTCACCTGCTCCGCCGTGTTGAGCACGTTGCTCTCACCTGTTCGGCCGTGTTGAGCACGTTGCTCTCACCTGCTCCGCCGTGTTGAGCACGTTGCCCTCACCTGCTCGGCCGTGTTGAGCACGTTGCTCTCACCTGCTCGGCCGTGTTGAGCACGTTGCTCTCACCTGCTCGGCCGTGTTGAGCACATTGCTCTCGTATCGGTTCACCACCTCCAGCCCCAGCGTCACGCCGCTATCCGCCGCCCGCGCCGCCACGCGTCGGAGAGCGCCGACCATGTTGTCGCGCGCCTTGCCGCCAGGGAAGGGCGTGGGGTACTTGGCGATGGCGCTGAAGGTGACGCCCGTGAGGTGCGACGCGCCGATGCCCGCCGCCACTGCCAGCGCTGCCATGAGCAGCTGGCGGGGGGAGGGCGACATGAGTAGCGGGCGAGTAGGAGAGGTGTGACGCGGCAGGCGGTGAAGGCGAACACGGCGTGGCACGCAGCGTGAAGGGAGCTTGGCTTGAGGGGAAGCTGGGGGGGGGAAGGAAGGCGAGTAGGTTGATGACCGGAGAGGCGAGAGAGATTGGAGGTGGGAGGGAAAGGTGTGGACTAGGGAGGATGAGGAGGAAGGAGGTTGAAGGCACAAGGCGCAATGGTGCAGAAGCGGCTGGCAGGTTGAAGACGCTAGAAGCACGGCACGAGGGAAGAGTTGTTGTGGAGAGGGAAAGCAGGTGGAGTGGCTAAAGGCAGGCCATGACTTGGCAACCCCTCTGCTTCATTCAGCCTACCCGGATCATGCCCCCCTTATCCCCCCTCACCTCCTCCCCCCTGGCAGCGACATCAGGGTCGGCGCTGGAGATGTCGCGGTCCAGCGAGAGCCCCAGCGACGTGGACGCCGCGAGCCCGTGCTCCCGCAGCACGTGCCGCGTGTGCTGCACGTCCACCGTCGTCGGGTCCAGCACGGGCACTGGGGGGGCGGGGGGGGAGGGGTGGGTAGCAGGGCACGGGCGAGGAGATGCGTTGTTCCCTGCACGGCCAGTGAGGAGGCGGTCCAGCACTGCCGCTGAGGGGGTTGGGTGGGAGGAGGGGGAGAGAGAATCGGCGCGGGGAAGCCCCGATGGGAAAGGCATCGCCACGAATTCAGTGCTCTGGGACTAGCAGCGCCCCACACTCACCCTCAATCAGGTCGTATCCGATGGCGGCGGATTGGCGTATAGCGCGTTCGCTCTCGTGCTTGCTCCACCCGCCCACCCACACCATCGCGTGCAGCCCTATCGGGTTCGCCCACTCCCTCTCCGCCGCCCCGCCTGCCCCGCCCGCCCCACTCGCCGCCATCACCGCGCGCCCTCGCCCCGCCTTCCGCGCCGCTGACCCAGCCGACTGGCGCGGCGGTGCGCGCGCTGCCGGTTGTGGTCGCAGCGAGCCAGGCGCCGATTCCCGGAAGAGCGCCGCGCGGGAGGGAAAGGGCAGCGGAAGGCGCAGCGCAGGGGCGAGAGCGGCGGCCATGGCGACTGTGGTGGGCAGGGGATGCCGCGGCGACCAGGGCTGGCGGAGTGAAGCGCGCCGAGCAGGTGGGGTGGATGTGGGGTGGGTGCGGACGGTACGGCACGGCTGGGTCAATTCGTCGTGCTGTCGTGCACTGGGGAAACGCCAGCCTCTGGGGGATGTTTGAGTCGAGTCAACTCAAGTTCACTGGCAGCAGCGTCGTCGCAACCTCCGAGCTTCGTGCCCAGCCTCCCTTCGCCTGCTAGCCAGTAACAGAAATAAACAAGCTCTAAACCAACTTTGTTATGATAATCAGAGTAATGCAATAGAGAGGTAGTGATTACCAGGGCTGACTTTATCAGACTATTTACTCTGATAAGTCTGAAATCTCAGACCTGTTTTTTGGCCAAACCTGAATTTCCAGATAAGGCATTTTCCCAATCCTGATCCCTTCAGAGTACGATTCTAGGGATCCTGAGAAAATCAGAGTTGTCGCTAACCCAGTACTGAGTTTTCAGAGCACAGCGCGTACAGACCCTGACTCATTACCTGTACAGTACCAACCTTCGAAAAAATTGGTGAAGTCCCCAATCGCTAGAGACATGCCCCACACACCCCACAACCCCTAAAAATTTTCGGCCAAGTCCCCGAACCCTAGAGACAACCCCCACCCCACACCCCACAACCCATATAAAATTTCGGCGAAGTCCCGGAACGCTAGAGACATCCCCCACACACCCCACAACCCACCCTAAATTTCGACTAAGTCATGTTGTCAGATACAGTCCTCCCTAACACCTGGAACAACCCAGAAGTTTTGAACGAGACTTTAACTTTTTTTTTAAACTGCATTGAAATGAGAGTAATTTCCGCATTTTTAACATAGGGAAATTCTCGCCAGTTGCCCGTTTGGTCAACTGAAAGTCTAACAAAATGTAACGGTCACGATCGTTTGCGATCGTTTCGACGTATATCAATCGTTCGATGTTATGTAGTGATTAACGTCCAAGATTTCCCAACCGGGGCGCTGCAAGGGCGCGAAATTTCTCCCACCGTCCTATTCCCCAGCTTCCCCCTTCCCTGCCGTTTCGATTCCCCCCTTCCCCTCCATTTTCGCTTCCCCCCTCCCCTCCGTTTCGATCACTTCCCCCTTCCCCTCCGTTTCGCTTCCCCCATCCTCTCCGTTTCGACCGCCCCCCCCTTTCCCCCCCTCCCCTCCGTTTCGCTTCCCCCCTCCCCTCCATTTTGATTCCCTCCCCATTTCCCCGTCAGTTTCGATTCCCCCTCTCCTCAGTTTCGATTTCCGTGGCAGTGCGATTTTACCCCCTCGGTTTTTAGGAATGAAATCCCCGTTTCCCACATTAAACAACTATGCAAAACAAGGGTATGACAAGGTCGCTGGTTGGGGGGGGCGCGGGCTGTAGGAGGATTTTTAATGCTGCAAGGGATTTAGCCGATTTTTTGGGAGGTGTAGGAGGGAGGGATGTTTCTCGCTGTGGGGGTGTTTCCCGTGTGTGACTCTGGTTGTACGTCCTGGACCCTGAAAAAATCAGACTCGCTGAGTTTTGGACCCTGACATTTCAGACTACAAAAATTTCGGCTGAAGGCCCTTCAGACTATTTTTTTTTTTGGGGGGGTTGGCTCAGAGTGCCTTTTTTTGAAACGTCAGCCCTGGTGATTACACTGTGTCGAATACAAATGAAGCATAAGGCTAAATACAAGCACAAATTGTCAAACATATCTTAATATGTTGTTATAGACTATATAGGGTTGTGCCTTAGAGAGTACAACCCACTAGGTTATATTCCCTTGTATCCCACCTTTCTACTCATTCGTTAACTTTGATATGGTATTATGAGTGGGTTAGGTACCCCCCGCCCACTAGCACTTCTGCCCTAGGTCTTAGCAGCCCCGTTCCCCTCCCGCACGTGCTGGCCCGTCGCCTAGCCAACCCTGTTGCCTAGCCGGCCTTGTCGCCTAGCTGGCCCCGTAGCCCAGCCAGCCCCGCCACCTAGCCGACCCCACCTCCTAGCCGGCCCCGCCTCCCAGCCGGCCCCGTCGCCTCGTCGGCCCCGTAGCCCAGCCGGCCCCGCCTCCTAGCTGACCCCGTCGCCTAGCAGGCCCCGTCGCCCAGCCGGCCCTGTCGCCTAACCGGCCCCGTCGCCTAGCCGGCCCCGTTGCACAGCCGACCCCGTCCCTCCGCCAGCCCCGTAGCCTAGCCGGCCCCGTCACCTCCCCGCCTAGCCGGCCCCGTCGCCTCGCCGCCCGCGGCCCCGTCTCCTAGACGCCTCGCCGCCGTCATCGGCCCTTTGCACCGCACTACACCACTTGGTACCGCACTGCACTGCCCGGTACCGCACTGCACCGCTCTGGACCGCACTACACCGCACAACACCGCACTGCACCACTCTGCGCCGCACTGCACCGCACCTTACCGTACTGCACCTCCGTCTACCGCACTGTACGACACCGCACCACACATCACTGCTTCCCACCATACCCTGTCACCTAGTACCGCCTTTCTGCTGCTGCAGCGACCATGATGGCGGACTCGGTCCTGCGTTTTGATGCGGAGGGGCAGCCGGTTGAGTTCGACTCGTGGCTCGTCGACCTCTGCCGCCACCTGACTGGTCAGCGGCAGGACGGCCACTCCCTGGCCGTCCACATCGACGGTACGCTCCCCTACCCTGACCCCCCTCCTGCTCTACCCTTTGACCCCACGTCTGCTGACCGTGAGTCCACTGTCGCTGCTGCCCTTGTCCGTGCTATTTGATTGTTGCGTGATGCAGTCGCACAGATTGAGATTAGTCATGCCCTCCCCATATCCGAGCGCCCTCGCTTTCGGTCGGTCAGGACTGTGCAGGAGTTTCTAGAGGCTGTTGTCGCGCGCTATTCTATCCCGCCCTCTGCCTCCGTCGGTCGCCTGATCCTGCCCATGCTCTTTCCTGATCTTGCGTCTTTCCCTACTGTCGCTGACCTGGCCGCCCACCTGCGCACGCTAGACACGACCTGGTACGCTGCCTGCACTGAGGCCCAGCTTCGTGTGTTTCAGCCCCCCATCTGCTCTACCCTCTACCTGCTTGCCACCCGCCTCCCTGACCGCCTTGCCACCCCCCGCGATCACTTCCTTAGTCTCCATCCCGCTGACCTCACCCTCACTGACTTTGTCGACACCCTGTCTGCCGTAGAGACTCGTCTGCGCTCTATCGCACAGTCTAGCGGTACCGTGCCGGTCTCTATCTTTCACGGCTGTGCCCCTACTCTGACGGCTCTGCTGCGGTCACTGAGACAACTCTTGCTGCGGAGACTGTCGCCGCAGTGCAGTTTCGTCTGGGGAAGGGTCGCCGCCCCAAGGCTGGGTGCGGCGGAGGTAGCGGAGGAGGGGGTGATGCCGGTGGTGGAGGTGGCTCGCCCGCTGGTAGTACTAACGAGGGGGCTGGGGCTGGGGCTGGGGCCTCGGAGCAGCAGGCCCAGCAGCAGTAGCAGCAGGGGCCGCCACTGGACCAGCAGCAGCAGCAACACGCAGCAGCAGAAGCAGCACACGCAGCAGCAGCAGCAGCAGCAGCCGCCGCAGCAGCAACAGTAGCAGCGGCGGGTCGGCCGTCTCCCGCCCGAGTGGCCTGGTGTCTACAGTGGCGGTGGTCGCAGTGGTCGAGCGCGCGGCGTGACGTCAGGTGCTGGTCAGAGTGATAGGCGCTGCCAGTACCAGCTCTAGACCAGTCCTCACCGTGGCCCCGTGCGCGGTAAGATCGGCCGTACCCCTACTCGTTGATTCAGTTTCCTAGACGACCTGTTTCGTCTCCGCTTCGGCCCGTCGCCTGACCTCCCCGACTGGAACAGTCTGCTCCGTTGTGGTGTTAGGATATTTGATATGGACATGGATGAGATTAGCTTTGCTTTGTACGTGCTGTATATCGATGACTCTAGTGTGACTGGTTCCTACTACCCTGTGTTGCCTAGTGTAGGTGTGCCTAGTATGCCTAGTTCAGGCTCCCCTGTTGCGTCAGGCATAGGATCCCCTGCCTTGTTTAGCCTTGGGTCCTCCCTTGCTCCTCCGACCCCTATCGCCACTGCCGCGCTCTCCTTCACCCTGGACTCCGGCGCTTCCTGGTGTTTCTTTCGGGACTCCACTACGCTTACGCCGCTCCCGCCACAGTTGCTCTTGCAGACCCTTCCTTCGGTCCTGCAGTCGCTGTTGGTGCAACCCTATGGCTTGCACTCGGCTTGTCGTCCTTGTTCGTGTGTATGCATGCATGGCATGGAATGACTTGTGAGTCTGTGTCATTGCTATCTAGTTCTTGTGTCTGTGCTTGATTGGTGTATCATAATGTGGTTTGTGTCGGTCAAGACATTAGCAAGATTTTACAACTCGCATGTCAAGTCGTCGTTTGCGTGTCGCATGCGTTTTTATGTTTTGTCGAGTGTGAAGTGTCCATCGCATCGCAGGTGTGTGCAGCAAGCCCTCATCAACTCAAGAAGAATTTATCTTGCAGAATAAAGACCAAGAGCTCAAGATTTCAAGCCCAAGGGACTTGGATAAATATTAAAATAGTGAAAATAATGATGCTACTTCGTGTAGTGTTACAGTGGCGGAAGGTATTGTCAGGATAATTGCCTTAAAACATTTCTCGTACCAGTTTGGTGCCTTTTTTGTTTAGTTACAAATCAAATTTCGGGGTTGGCTGTAAAGTAGTACTGTACTGTATGTAACGGATGCTGGTTTTAGTTTTATAGGGGTCGATTTTTTACCGAGGACGAGATTTCGTTCGCGTGGGTGCATCCGGACAGTTCAAGCCAAGCAGCGTAGTAGATCTATTTCCTAACCTCGCTTTTTCTACTTACTTGCCCTCGCGACTATCATGTAGTCAGGAAATAGGCTAGGACCGCTGCGACGATTAGGCCATTATGAAACCGATAGATGAGGCGCGCCGCGCACGGATCATTACCCTGTTGCGGAGGGGGTATAGCACGTGTCGAATCGCTAAAAAGCTAGGCGTGGGCAAGAGCACGGTCCATGATTATGGACTTAAGGAGATTGAGGAGTCTACCCGCGATGCCGTGCGTCCCACGATGCCCTCAGCCGGTCGCCCTCGTTTAGTGACAGAGAGAATTCGCTGCAGCATAGTTCGGGCGATAACTAGCGGGGAGGCCAAAACCTCTGCTCACGCGGCGAAGATAGTCGAGATGCAGCACGGCATCACACTGCATCCTAGGACGGTGCGTAATGCATTGAACGGCAGCGGACTAGTCGCAATCCAGCAGCCCAAGAAGCCGCGACTCTCTCGGAAAAACATAAGCGATAGGCTAGAATGGGCCCGTGCCCACGCCGACTGGACGGTTGACGATTGGAAGCAGGTGATCTGGTCGGATGAGACCAAGATCAATCGGTTTGCGTCTGATGGACGCTCCTATGCCTGGGTTCGCGAAAGTGCTGCCCTCCAAAGCCACCAAATCAAGCAGACCGTCAAACACAGGGGCGGCTGCTTGATGATTTGGGGGTGCATGTCGTATGATGGCGTGGGCTTCATGTGCAAAATAGATGGTAGGATGGACAGGCAGCTCTATCTGAGTATATTGTAGGACGAGCTCAAAAGGAAGATTGAGTTTTACCAGCTTTCACCCTCCGAAACCATCTTCCAGCATGACAACGACCCGAAGCACAAGTCGCGTATCGTGCAGGATTGGCTTAGAGAGCAAGAGTTTGGGGTGCTAGAGTGGCCATCTTCCTCACCCGACCTCAACCCAATAGAGCATTTATGGGCTCATCTCAAGAGGCAGCTGGCCAAGCAAGAGAAGCCTCCCACTGGTATGCTGGACCTTTGGGAGCGTGTGCAGGAGGAGCGGGTGAAGATCCCGGCAGATGTGTGCACCCACTTGGTGGAAAGCATGCCCAGGAGGGTGAGGGCGGTGATTAAGGCGAAAGGGCGGTGGACTAGGTACTAGTTTGTGGTTGATGTAACTTGCTGCTTGCGCCTGGCAATAATTGTCCATACCAAGACTGTTATTTTCTGTTATTTGTTGTAAACTTCATTATACTTGTGTGATGTAAGGCATGGGAGTAGAGGCTTACCCCAACCTACATACACTAGGCACACCAGAAGATTAAGGCTTAATGTCCATGACCCCCTAAAATGGCAAAATTCCTCTAAGTCACAAACATATGGACAATACTTTCCGCCAGTGTACATTTCACTTGGTGTAGCCCCTTGCTGGGTTTGTTTCGAGTCCCTTTGTGCTTGGGGACTCTGTGGTGGTGTACCACCAACCTGGACCTCGGCTCTTGGGGTATGTAGAGGCTGGGAACCATCTCAATCTCGATTCTTCTTGCTAAGTTTGTACTTCAAAGGCTATAGTGGCTGCTATACCTCCTGTCAGTCAAATCACCATAGCATCATCAAATCGTCATGGAATTTCATGATTCAACTTGCTACTGATAGGCGACAGCAACGCGCTCCAGATCCAATTTACAAATTACCGTTTGAGTTACCAATCAGATCGTTATCAATATTTGAAGCTATCTGACGGAAATCCAACTGTTCACTCTATCTCTCATTTTAGGCACATCTGAGCTTATTGTGATAATAACAGTCGCCTGTAGCTCCACCACCCTTCCCTGTCCGGTGGTTCCCTCGGGCTCCCTTACAGGCCTGCACATCCCCTCGTTCTCTAGAAACCTAGTTGGTTTCGGTTGCCTCCAAGACCTTGGCGTCACCACTACGTTCCCTGGTCACGAGCGGTACGCTATCTGTACCAAGGCCGCCACTAGTGCCCCCCTCACCACATTCCCCCGGGACCCGGTGTCTGACCTGTTCACCCTGGACACCGCGTCCCCTCCGGTTGGGACGCCTCCCCAGGTGGCAGCGTGTACCCAAGTTGCTGCGGCTTGCTCGTGTCGGTCGCTTACTCACCCGTCGCTTCTGTGGCACCACCGTCTAGGTCACCCCGCCCTCACCCGTCTCCGTGACATGTCTCAGCACGGTCTTGTCGTAGGTCTCCCTACGTCGTTCCCTACGCACCCCTCCTCAGCAGTGCCCCTGTGCACCCATTGCATCGAGGGCCGGCTCCGCCGTGCCCCTCACTCCTCCTCGTTCCCTCCCACCACCGCCCCATTACACACACTGCACATTGACGTCTGGGGCCCCGCCCCCGTCCATGGGCCACGTCGCGAGCGTTACTTCCTAGTGCTTGTCGACAACTACACTTGCTACACCACCGTGTTTCCCCTGGAGCGGAAGGCCGACGTGCCCAACGTTCTTATCCCGTGGCTTGTCTCTGCGTGTGTGCACCAAGGTCTCCCTGTGTTGCGTCTTCACCCTGACCGTGGTGGCGAGTTTGCCTCTGGCTACCTTGGTTGCTTCTGTCGTGCGGAGGGCATCACCCTGACGTACACCCTGCCGGACTCCCCGCAACAGAATGGGGTCGCTAAGCGACGCATCGGTTTGGTCATGGAGTTGGCTTGTACCTCTATGATCCATGCCGGTGCACCCCATTTTCTGTGCCCGTTCGCTGTTCGCTACGCCACCCACCAGCTTAACCTGTGGCCGCACCCTCAGCGGCCGCAGGTTTTGCCGACTCTCCCCTGGACCGGGTCTCCTGGTGACGCGTCTGCGTTCCACGTCTAGGGCTGCCTTGCTCACGTTCGTGCCTCTGGCATGGACAAGCTCACTGCCCGCACCGTCCCTTGTGTCTTCCTAGGTTTCCCCCTCGACTCGTCTGACTGGCAATTCTACCACCCGCCGTCGCACCGTTTCTTTCACTCTCACGACGTCAACTTTGATGAGTCCGTCTCTTTCTACCACCGCTTTCCCCACCATGGTCCCCCGGTCACTCCCCCCAAGTTCCTGGTTCCCCCCCTTTCCCGAGTCGCCCCTGTTCCCCCCCTTCCCCGCCCTGCCTCGCTTGGTGTGTCCCACATCACCCCCCTCCCATCGGTTGTCCGTGTCGAGGGGTATGCTGACTCTCGCAACTTGGCGGAGTCCCTTCCCCAGCCTGTCCCTGCCCTGGTCTCTCCTCCCCTGTCACCGCTGTTGCTGTCACCGCCGCAGCTGCCGTCCCCGCTGTAGCCACCGCTGTCGTCATCACCAACGCTGGAATTTGTGTGTTCTGGGGGTGCTGGCATGGGGCTTCCTAGAGGGAGCCGTGGTCCTGCTGGAGGTTTTGGTGTTGGAGTCGGGCAGCAGTCGTCGCAGACGCAGCCGGTGTCCGCTCTTCGCCTCCTCGGCCTTCCTTCCCCTGACTGCCTGCCGGTGCCTACTCTGTCGCTGCCGCCTCCTCCTCCTCCGATCTACGGCTCGGTGTTTCCTCGTCCGGACTCCTCTCTAGCTCGTTTCCCTCCCTGTTCTCCTCCTGTGTCTCCCCCCCTCTCTCCTGACCTGACTCCTCCGTCTCACGTCTGGTCTCATCGTCCGTCTCGTGCTCGTCCTACCTCCCCTGTTGCGCGTTCTCACCCTATGTTGCTTCACTCTCACGCATCCCGTGCTCCCCCTCTCCTCCCGTCTCCTCCCCTGTCGTCGCATGTTGTGGCCCCGCCTCCATTCTTTGAATTCCTCTGTGCAGCGCGTCCCCTTGTTCCTCGTATCCTTGCCTCTCATGTTACCTACTCGTCAATTCCTGTCTCGAGTTTGTCGGCTCTTGTTGCTGCTGTCACTGACTTTGCCGCTACCCGCCGCCTCAACTATGCCACCACTCTGATCTCTGACCCTGCCTGCCCTCCGCCCGTCGGGGGTGTGGCTGCCCTTGGTAGTGACGTCCTAGAGGATAGGCAGTACGAGCTTGCTTTCCTGTCTGAGGCCGCTCCCCATCTCTGTTCCATGCTACTAGTCCTTGAGGGTGACCCAGACGCCCTTGACATCCCGACCCCTCGCACCTACGCTGAGGCCACCTGGGGACCCTGGGCCTTTGAGTGGAAAGCTGCCATGGAGCAAGAGATGACATCTTGGAGATCCACCGATACCTTCGTCCACGCAGTTCCCCCACATGGGGTGAACGTGGTTGATGGCTGGTGGCTCTTCAAGGTGAAGCGCCCTCCTGGAGAGCCTAGCGGACCCTATGCAGAGCTGGTGGGTTGCCTCATGTACCTGATGACTTGCACTCGTCTAGATCTTGCATACCTTCTCAGCGTCCTGGCTTGCTTTGTGGCCACTGGCAGACACCGACCCCAGCACTGGCCGGGAGCTAAGAGGGTTTTCCGTTATCTAGCAAGTACATCGGGCTTGGGGTTAGTGCTAGGAGGTCGCAGACTAGTGGTCCTTACCGGGCACACAGACGCTTCTTGGGCCGATGACGCCGAGACTCTCCGGTCCTCTCAGAGCTACTACTTTGGCCTTGGTGCAGGTGCTGTCCCGTGGCGGTCCATCCGTTCGTCATCAGTTGCCCAGTCTAGCTGTGAGGCTGAGATCTACGCTGGTGCCATGGCGGCACAGGAGCTCTGTTGGCTGACTTTCTAGCTCACAGACTTAGGTGAGCAGCCTAGCTCTGCCCCGGTCCTGTACGCTGACAACAGGGCCATGATCCTCCTGTGTCAGGAGCCCAGACTCGAGGGCAGAGCGAAGCACATCCAGCTGCGGTACTTCCTCCTGCGCGAGCTACAGCAGCGTTGCCAGGCTCGCGTAGTACACTTGGCCTCATGTGCCAACACAGCTGATATCTTTACGAAGGCGCTTGTGCCTAAAGTTCATCAGCGGCATAGTGTATAGCTTGGTCTTGTTCCTATAGCCTCTCACTTGCTAGGACCTTGATTGTGTACTTCTTCTATATATACCTTTCTGACTGGCCTTGTGGCCTCTTCCCAGTGGCTGGACTAGTAGTGCGCCCTGGTTTTGCTCTTGCCTTGTCTGTACTTGTTTGACTGGTCTTCAGACCCTTGTCTCAGAGGTTGGACTAGTAGTGCCACCCTGAGTTGCTTGTCTCTCACCAAGCACTGCCCCTATCCAGTCTAGGGGGTGTGTCAAACATATCTCAGTATGTTGTTGTAGACTATATAGGGTTGTGCCTTAGAGATTACAACCCACTAGGTTATATTCTCTTGTATCCCACCTTTCTACTCATTCGTCAACTTTGATACAAATAGCCTAGCAAGGGAACCTCGAGGAGGGTCACGAAGCACACGCGAGGTGGTTTGGGCGCCTCGGGGTTCGGAAGTGTCGGACACGACTCCACGTGTAGGCTTGGGGGTCTAGAATGTATTTCAGAACCGTGGACTTTCTAAGTTCAGGGATGTACGTAGTTTTAGCGAGGGTTCACTAAAGGATAATGATTTTCCTTACATTTTCCCCCCTCCTAGTCAAGACTATGCACATCTGGGGCTTATCGATTCAATAAATAGGACTGCACCAGATGATGGTTGTCGAGGGTAGTGTCAAACATATATGTATATGCTATTATAGGCTAGATAGGTATGTAGTCTTAGAGAGGACAACCTCATAGCACGCCTAGGAGACACGGAGTAGCCTTCCCACTGTAATAGCACGTCTTGCACAGCACCCACCGCAGCTTCCCCTTCACCCTTCTGTCTCCTGTTGCACCTTAACCGGTTGTCTCTTCGCGTGCTCCTGCCTTTCTAACCATTCCTCTACGACACTAACCGGGCACAGCACACACGGCGTTGCTGTCCACCCATAGCACGTCTTGCACAGAGCCCACTTCACCTTCCCCTTCACAACCCCCAGCACAGGCGCAGTAGCATACGCGCCCTTCCCGTCGCACGCACCGCACTCCAACTATCAAGACCCGTCCCCGTACCACCCACACCACCCTTCGGACCTGCCCCTTTGGTCTGGAACGGGGCCGGCGCCGAACCTGCTACCTTGGTTAGGGACGGGGTCAGGGTCGGTAAGCAGGCCGAGTGAGGTTTTGGAGGAGGAATCAGCGGGGGACACAGAGGAGAAAATGGTGCGCCAGGAACGCTCTGGAGATGCCTCTTCCAAACAATCCACTTCCGAACGACCCTCTTCCGAACGACTCGCTTCCAAACGACCCTCTTCCGAACGAACCTTGTCTCGATGCTTTTGCTTCTTCTTCTTCTTCTTCTTCTTCTTCTTCTTCTTCTTCTTCTTCTTCTTCTTCTTCTTCTTCTTCTTCTTCTTCTTCTTCTTCTTCTTCTCCTCCTCCTCCTCCTCCTCCTCCTCCTCCTCCTCCTCCTCCTCCTCCTCCTCCTCCTCCTCCTCCTCCTCCTCCTCCTCCTCCCTCCTCCTCCTCCTCCTCCTCCTCCTCTCCTCCTCCTCCTCCTCCTCCTCCTCCTCCTCCTCCTCCTCCTCCTCCTCCTCCTCCTCCTCCTCCTCCTCCTCCTCCTCCTCCTCCTCCTCCTCCTCCTCCTCCTCCTCCTCCTCCTCCTCCTCCTCCTCCTCCTCCTCCTCCTCCTCCTCCTCCTCCTCCTCCTCCTCCCTCCTCCTCCTCCTCCTCCTCCTCCTCCTCCTCTTGCTCCTCCTCCTGCTCTTTGTGCTCCTCCTGCTCCTCCTCCTCCTCCTCCTCCTCCTCCTTCTGCTCCTCCTCCTCTTGCTTCTTCCCCTCCTTCAGATTCTCCTCCTTCTTCTCCTTCTTTTCCTTCTACACCTCCTTCTTCTCCTCCTTCTCCTCCTCCTCTCCCTCCTTCCTCTCCTTCACATTCTTCTCCTTCTTTTTCGTCGCATATTTTTTCCCCACCTCAGCCGTCTCAGGCTCCTCAACCTCCTCCCCCTCAACCTGCTCCCCTCTGACACCTTCCACCCCTGCTCCTACCCCACGAGCCCCTCCGCCAAGCGCTCCGCAAAGTGCAGCGGATCCACGCTCCGAAATCGGATCGCAGAACGCGCCGCTATGCGCAAGCTGCGCGGGCGTCTTCTGCCAAGGCAGCAGCCGCAGGGGCGCGAATGATCCAATTCCCAACTCGATATTCGTACTGCCGATAACATGCATCCATAGAAACAACGGGGAAATCGCCACGCCAATTGGACGCAGCTGCGGAAGTGCAAGATAAGATGGAGGGAGTGCAGCCATAGCCAGATCTTACTACCATAAACCCGAAACCCTGAGGATTTATGAGAGAAACCTTCACACAATCTAGGAAAACCTTTGTCGGCGTTACAAGCGAAATCCGTCGTGAACGTGCGTCATCGTAAAAATATATTCACCGAGTTGCAATCACCCTATAGGAAACACACAAAATTCAGACTCATTTCATACCATCTCAATTGAGGGAGTCATTGTATCTCCCAGCTTGTGCATACGATCTTACTCAAATACAAAAAAAAAATAGCAGACCAATAAAGAAGGCAACTAAATAAGAAGACACCTTACAAAAGATTTCCTCCTAGCTGGAAGCATCTTCGAACGCATCCAGCTCTTTCATTTCCTCCATGTGTGTTCCCACACTGTGCCACAATCTCATGGCCCAGCACGAGCTCCAACCGGCAGGCGTCTCCACGATCTTCCCAGCACATTCAGATCACTGTGACCTCCTCGACCCTAAGTCCAACAAGCTCCTAGCACGCTTCACACTCAACAGCAGCAAGCTCTACACGCTGCGTTCACCTGCACCTCTTGCCGCCCTCTCCCAAGTGCAAGCTGCCAGCACAACTCCATGTTCCTGTCGCAGCTTTGCCAACCCAACCATCCTCTACCACCATCGCTTGGGTCACCCCAACTTCCGTACGCTTGACGACATCGCTTCTAAGAAACTTCTTCTTGGCCTCCCGTCGGTGCTTCCTCCACAAACAGACTCACCTGCACCCACCTGCCTGGACTGCACCAAGAGCAAGCTCAGGCAGCACCTCCACCCTTCCTCCCCATCCGTCGCAGCTGCTCTGCTGGACCTAGTGCACATGGATGTGTAGGGCCCAGCTCCAGTCGCATCCCAAGGCGGTCATCGGTACTTTCTTATACTAGTCGATGACCACTCGCGGTATGTTTCTGTGCACCACCTGCATACCAAGGTGGAGGCACCTGATGTCATCATGGCGTGGGTGCGCCAGGCTCAAGTCACGTTCGGCACTCCTCTGAAGTGCCTCCATTCTGATGGTGGAGGAGAACTTCGCAATGGCACACTCGATGACTTCTGCGTGGCCCAAGGGATTCAACAAACCTTCACGCTCCCCGAAAGCCCGCAGCACAACGACATTGCAGAGAGCCGCAATCACACCTTAGTTCAGATCGCTCACTGCCTTCTCAGTCACGCCAACGCACCATAGTCACTCTTGGGATATGCCCTCTTCCATGCGGCTTTCCGATTATTCAGACTCCTCGCACAAAAGAGGAAGCTCTCTCGGGGCCTTATAAGAAGGAATGCAAGGCAGCAATGGATGTGGAGAACGAGGCGTTCATTCGCAACAACAGCTTTGACGATGTCGTTCGCCCTTCCAATGTTAACATCGTCGGCGAAAAATGGATCTTCTGAGTCAAACAACTCCAAGGCGAAGCTCCACTATTCAAGGCACGATACGTGGCGAAGGGTTTCACCCAGATTGAGTATCTCGACTTCTTCGAAACCTTCTCACCCACGACCAAGCTCCCGAATGTGCGCGCTCTTCTTGATATAGCTGCTCGTGGCAACTTCGAGATCAAGTCCATGGATGCCTCCTCTGCCTTTCTCCAAGGCCAGCTCAAGGAGGATGTTCACATGGAACGTCCACCGAGGTTTCCTTTCACTTACCTTGCCAACACAGTGTGAAAGCTGAAACGCCCAGTGTATGGCCTCAAGCAGGCTCCTCGTAAGTGGCACAAGAAGGTGAAGGAAGTCCTCGCACTTGACTTCCATCACTCCACCTCAGATTCCAGTCTCTTCGTTTGTCACTCCTCCGAGCCTTTCTACATCCTCGTCTACGTTGATGACTTCATTCTAAGTTGCCAGAGATCTTGCTTAGATGTCAGCTGTCCAGTCTGCTCTCAGCTCCGCCCTTCTCATGAAGGATCTTGGTGACCTCAAGAACTACCTGGGGATGGAGATCACTCGTGACCGCCATGCTTGCACCATCACCCTCTCCCAAGAGTCCTACATCGACAACCTTCTCAAGCATTTCGACATGGAATCCAGTACCTCTGTCTCCACTCACCTCCCATTACAGCATCAGCTCATGGCTGTAAGAAATAGAGTTGAAATCATTGATTAGGTAAGGAGCCCAAGGCTCTATAAGTACATGGCAAGGTGAGAGTGAATGGATGAAGGGGGAATTGGAGGGAATCCCCATTGGGATCTCCTGAATCTCCAATTGGGTAATTGGAGATTGGGGGGATCACAATTGGGTGAGGTTGGGATTTTGTGAGTACACCCCAACCCACTAGGACATTCATAACCTAAACTAGGATATAAAAGTACAAATACAAAAGTGGTATTTGCAGTCTATTTCTAACACACCCCCATAGACTGCAAACCCGATTAAGGAGCACATAGCCCCATGGAACGGAGAAGGCGATGGTGGTCAGCCTTGCCGAGAGCCTTGGTAAAGAGGTCGGCGAGGTTGCAATCTGAGGCGATGTACCATACCGTCAGCTCGTCACTCTGAACAAGATCTCGGATGAAGAAATGACGAAGTTCGATGTGCTTGGTGCGAGAGTGGAACACAGGATCCTTGGTGAGGTGAATGGCACTCTGGTTGTCACACTACATGGTGGGCGACTGCTGGGGGTAGCCTAACTCAGCGAGGAGAAAGGAGAGCCAGCGTGCCTCTTGAGCAGCCATTGTGCCCGCGTAGAGCTCGGCCTCGCAGGACGACAGGGAGACTGCAGAGGACCGAGTGGAGCGCCAGCTGATGACTCCGCTACCAAGGGTGAAGCAGTACCCTTGGGAGGAGCGTCTGTCTGTCTGGTCATCGGCCCATGAGGAGTCTGTGTATCCCTCGAGCTTGACTGGAGAGGTACCACCAAGAGTGAGGATGTGAGACTTGGTGGCTTGTAGATAGCGGAGGACCCTCTTGGCTGCAGACCAATGCGAGGCAGTGTAGCGTCCGGGGGAGACGTACCAAGAGAGGACACTAACCGGGTAAGCCAAGTCTGGTCGAGTGCACATCATGGCATACATGAATGAACAGACTAGCTCAGGGTACGGGTCTTTGCAGGCGTCAGGAGAAGGAACCGGAGGGGCCGTGAGCTGATGCTGTAGTGGGAGTGGAGTGGAGACAGAGTTACTGGAGTCCATGTCGAACCGCTTGAGAAGGTTGTCGATGTAGGACTCCTGGGAGAGCGTGATCGTGCAAGCCTGGTGGTCACGAGTGATCTCCATCCCCAGGTAGTTCTTGAGGTCACCAAGATCCTTCATGAGAAGGGCGGAGCTGAGAGCAGACTGGACAGCTGCCATGTCGGCTGGATCTCTGGCGGCTAGAATGAAGTCGTCGACGTAGACGAGGATGTAGAAGGGCTCGGAGGAGTGACGAGCGAAGGGACTGGAATCTGAGGCAGAGGGATGGAAGTCAAGTGCGAGGAGGACTTCCTTCACCTTGTTGTGCCACTCACGAGGAGCCTGCTTGAGGCCATACACTGGGCGCTTCAGCTTCCACACTGTGGTGGCAGGGTAAGTGCCAGGAAACCCCGGTGGGCGTTCCATGTGAACATCCTCCTTTAGCTGGCCTTTGAGAAAGGCGGAGGAGGCGTCCATGGACTTGATCTCGAAGTTGCCGCGAGCGGCTATATCAAGAAGAGCGCGCACAGTCGGGAGCTTGGCCGTGGGCGAGAATGTTTCGAAGAAGTCGAGATACTCCTTCTGGGTGAAACCCTTCGCCACGTATCGTGCCTTGAACAGTGGAGCTTCGCCTGGGAGTTGTTTGACTCGGAAGATCCATTTTCCGCCGACGATGTTGACACCGGAAGGGGGAACAACATTGTCAAAGCTGTTGTTGCGAATGAACGCCTCGTTCTCCACATCCATTTCTGCCTTCCACTCCTTCTTATAAGGCCCCGAGAGAGCTTCCTCTTTTGTGCGAGGAGTCGGAATGGTCGGGTTCTCGGTGAAGTTGAGGGAAGGGCAGTCAGTAATGTCCGGGAAGATGTGAGAGAGAAATTGGCAGACCGCATGAAGGTCAAACAGCTCCTCATGCCTGTCCTCCAGAAGTGCACGGGGGGGAATACGGATGGAGGGGACATCACCCCCGGCAAGAGGAGGCGGGGTGACCGAACACCGGATGGAGAAGGCGGCTGGTCCCCAGGCGAGAGGCGGAGCCGGTCCCTTGGAACGAGTGTGACTAGAGACCGGAGACGAAGGCAGCTGCGGAGGGACTGGGCGCCTCCGATAGGAGACTGGTGAGCTGGGCTCGACGCGCGGGGAAGGCGGAGTAGGAGGAGGTGCTGCTGCGGAGGATACTGGGGAGGCCGGGTGAGACACGGCGGACAGAGAAGGCCCCGGAGAAGGGGCAGCGGCCGGAGGTGGGGCATCGAAGTCTGCCCAAACGAGCGTCGGGGGAGGTGGAGGAGGCTCGCCCGTGGTCGCAGAGTGGAAGGGCCGTGTCTCATCGAAGACGACATCACGGCTGCGAATCAGCTGCCTGGTTATTAGGTTGAGGAATAAGTAGTCTGGGGAGTCGGAGTTGTGCCCCAGGTACATGCAGGTCTGGGTTTTGGGACCAAGCTTGCCACCTTGCTTCCTGCGCGTGTGGGGGCTTAGCAACACATACGCGGTACACCCCTAGACGCGTAGAGAGCGGGCGGAAGGCGTGACCCCAAGCCAGAGAGCGGTAGGTGTGGTGTCGGGCCGGTGGGGATGCGGATAAAGATTGTAGAGGAGTGCCGCATGGAAGAGGGCATATCCCCAGAGTGACTGTGGTGCGTTGGCGTGACTGAGGAGGCAGCGAGCGATCTGAACCAAGGTGTGGTTGCGGCTCTCTGCAATGCTGTTCTACTGCGGGCTTTCGGGGAGCGTGAAGGTTTGCCGAATCCCTTGGGCTGCACAGAAGTTATCGAGTTTGCCATTGCAAAATTCTCCCCCGCCATCAGAATGGAGGCACTTCAGAGGAGTGCCGAATGTGACTTGAGCCTGGCGCACCCATGCCATGATGACATCAGGTGCCTGCGCCTTGGTATGTAGGAGGTCCACAGAAACATACCGCGCGTGGTCATCGACTAGTGTAAGAAAGTACCGATGACCGCCTCGGGATGCGACTGGAGCTGGGCCCCAGACATCGATGTGCACTAGGTCCAGCGGAGCAGCTGCGACGGATGGGGAGGAAGGGTGCGGCTGCTGCCTGAGCTTGCTCTTGGTGAAGTCCAGGCAGGTGGGTGCAGGCGAGTCTGTTGGTGGAGGAAGCGCCGACAGTAGGCCAAGAAGAAGTTTCTTGGAAGCAATGTCGGCAAGTGTACGGAAGTTGGGGTGACCCAAGCGATGGTGGTAGAGGATGGTTGGGTTGGCGAAGCTGCGACACGATCACGGAGTGGTGCTGGCAGCTTGTGCTTGGGAGAGGGCGGCGAGAGGTGCAGGTGAATGCAGCGTGTAGAGCTTGCGACTGTTGAGTGTGAAGCGTGCTAGGAGCTTGTTGGACTTAGGGTCGAGGAGGTCACAGTGTTCCGAGTGTGCTGTGAAGATTGTGGTAACGCCTGCCCGTTGGAGCTCGTGTTGGGCCACGAGACTGTGGCGTAGTGTGGAAACACCCATGCCAGTCCCACTGCCCGAAGGAAAAGCTGGGCACGAAACTATGGAGGAGCCCTTGGCGTGTATTGTGAAACTGGAATCTGCTCCAAGTAGACGGATTGGTGTCTTGTATGGCTTGAAGGAGTGTTCTTCTTTGAGAACCGTGTGAGTGGCCCCACTGTCGAGGGTGAACTCTATTGTGGCTGAGGTGCTTTGTGAGCCAGGATACTGTGAAATCGTCTCATTAATCATGGCTTTGCCAGGGAACCACATGTTGAGGCGCACATCAGCAGGTGCAGCCACAACATCCTGCACGGATTCCTGCGCTTCGACTTGATTGACTTGGCGAGGAGCACGATTGACCATCCAGCTTGGCGGCTTCGAGGCGGTCCCATTGATGGCATACCACTCGTCATCCTTCTTCTTAAAGCAGGAGGCAAGGGCGTGGTTGGTGCCGCCACACACCTGGCCAGCACGAGGGCCGCGCTTGATGACGTAAGGACATGGGGGGAAGCGGTTGCGCTGGAATGGCACCAAAGCGGCATAGGCATGAGGCACGGGAGCACGGATTGCATTGGCCTTGGCTTGAGCACTGTTGTCCTTTTTGGCAGAAAGGAGCGCGGATGAGACCTTGGCAAATGTGAGGTCTGCAGGAGCAAGGCCCAAGAGCATCTTGCGTGTGACTTCGTATGCCAGAGTGAGGCCGACTAGGAGAGCGGATGCAGGGTCTTGCTCGGGGAAGACTATCCCCAACTGTTTGAGTTCACTATGAATGGACTGCACCTTGGTGACATAGTCTGCCATGCCTGGCGAGTCCTCGAGCCGCACTTGGAACATGCTGGGGATGAGTATAGCAACTCCCACTGCAGTCTTGTTCAGGAAGCGATCTTCGAGGTAGAGCCAATTGGCGTTGGCAGACGGTAAGTTGTGGTAGGTTTTGACGAGTTCGGGAGGAGTGGTGCCCATGAAGACACTAATGACCGCACCATCGGCCTTCTCCCAATTCTTGTACTTGAGCAGTGCAGCAGCATAAACTGCTTCGGCGGCGGCATTAGCTGGATCGGCAGACCTCTCGGGTTTAGGAGGCTCTTTGCCGTCACCGATGTTGAGAAGGACGTCGGTGAGCTCGAGCCCCTTCACCTCGCGACTGAGGAGGTGCTTGTCGACACCATAGCGCCAAGCCTTGTAGTTGGAGCATGTGCCGTCCGGCTCGAGACGAAGGAGCGGGATCGGGTTGGCGAGTGAAGTGGTTGAGTAAGCCATTGTCGGTGTGCAGCGCGGCACTTCTGGAAATTGGTCGACGAGAATTGCTGAAAATCACTCTGACGGCTTTATCAAAATGCCGCCAAGTAGGAAATGGCGTCGGCGAAAATTTGTTAAAACGCCGACTTGAAACTGAATCTGAACCTATGTCTAACCCCGGACCCACACACACCCCCACACACCCCCAGGCCCTGTCCCGCAGCTACACAGCTCCGCAACCAGCTCCGCAACCAGCTCCGCTCCGCTTCAACCTGTGTACCTGCTCTTGGATAACGCGAGACGTTCGTGGAGGCGATTTCGCGAGGGGAGTTTGCCTATTCTGGCGGGGTCTGAGGGGAAACTCGAGAACGAGTTTTAAGAGATGGTCGAAATTGAGATTCGACCAAGGAGAACCGAGGAGGAAATCGACGATGGGAAGCGTGAACGCTTCAGAGATGAGAAATTCAACGAGGTCGAGCGCGAAGGCGGTCGACGATGAGAGGCGCGACTACAGAGTGGAGCACGTCGAAATTCCGACGACTCGAAACGAATGTCGCGACGATGAAGTG